ATCGGCTGGGGGTGTGCTCGAGGAGCAGCAGCGGAGCAGGGACAGCTCGTTCCTGGGTGAGGCTGGGAGGCTGCAGGGCCCCCTGGGGGAGATCGGGGAGATCAGAGATGTGGCTGGGTCCCCAGGGATGGAGACTCAGGGGAGACGTGGTGGCCAAAACCCCAAATCAGGAGTTGTCAGCGAGCAGATGGGATTTAGTCCTGGGAGTGGGAAGAGAGGCCTTGGGTGGGTGGCAGCTGTCGGGGGTGGGGGGGAAAGAAAGGGTGGAGGGATGTGGGGAGACCCAGAGGGTCTGTGGGGACTGAGACTACCTTGGGGGTGTCACCTCCCCCCTAGGCCATGACCCTCAGGCAAAGGAAAGGGCAGAGAACCGGTCTGTCCACTCAGCCCCACCACAGGGCTTTGCTGCCTGTGCCCTCCGCCCGGCCTGCCCCCCACTGTGGCCCAGTGCCCTGAAAACTTAACAGCAAAAACAGGGCCAGTGGCCAGGCCTCACCCTAGTTAGGAACTGGGGGGGTCCCAGCCTCCTAACCCCACCAAAAGGCCAGGCCTGCAGCGCCTCCAGCCCTCTCGTCTTCCCACAGCGGCAGGGCTTGAGGGCGACTGAGGGGCTCGGCTGCAGTCCACCCCCCTGCCGGTCAAAGCCCTCCCCGGGGACCACCCCTCGTGTCCCCCTGCTGCCCAGCCCAGCCAGTGTCCAGGAAAATGAGTCCAGTCCCACCTTTCCCTCCCCAAGAGCTTCCCAGAGTCGGGGAGCCCAGACCTCAGGGAGTATCAGAAGCTCTAGGCCAGCTGCGAGCCCCCCTCCGGCATCCCTCCCGTGCCCATGAAGGAGATGACAGGCCGCCCCTGGGGGAGAGGTTAGAGGGGACAAACTGGGTCACAGCTTGAGTGGCCCCTGCTGGGCACTGAGGACCGACTGTCCTCTCATCCTGGGAGTAATTATAGCTCCCTGACTCCCGGGCGCTGAGGGCTGGAGCTGGCTTTGACAGCCAAGCCCAGCCAGGGTGTGTGAGCATCAGAGGTCACACAGCACCCAGGAGGGAGGCCTCCCGCACCCTGCGGTGACTGCCGCCCAGTAGCGGTGGCCTCACTGCTCTGGCCTCTCCTCGCCAGAGTCCTTCCTTCCTGATTCTGTCTTTACCCACTTTGATGCCAGCTTTTTTTTTTTTCTTTTATTCTTTCCAGCTCAAAAAACTCAAGTCTCTTCATCTTTCTGACTTAGTCCCGGCCCCTCGCCACCTCACCTGCCTGCACGGCCCACCACACAGGCTTGCCCCTAAGGTCCCCTCCACCCAGGCTGCCCTACCAGCACCAGCTGCTCGACTCCCTTTGCAGAAATGTACTTTCCTCATAATTAGATGACCGAGGCCTCCTCCACACCATCACCCTTTGTGGACTGCTCCCTCCACCGTGGCCACCCACCGCGGGACAAGGTGTGTTTATTATCCTCGTTTATTCTCTGTCAGCTCCAAGAAAGCTGATCTCTTTGTCTCACCTACTCTGATAAATGTCAACATGTGGTCAGCGTTTGTTGACTGACGGATGGACTGAATTCATGACTCAGCTACCACCTCTCTGGAAATGATCATGAAAATCAGCCCAGCAAAGGCAGAACCTGTTGTGAATTCTAGCTGGATCAGTGGCCAGGACCCCTGTTCAGTTGTTGTTGTTTTTTTTTTTTTTTTTAAGATTTATTTATTTATTTATACAAGCACTGGGTACAGTCAGAAGTGCGGGAGGGTGAGAGAATTCACCAGAGCAGGGAGCAGAACAGGCAGACGGATGAAATGCACTGCTGAGGGGAGCAGCGGGCGCAGCAGGAGAGGTCTGTGCGCCATGTGGGACCCTCCTGGGATTGAACTGGCGCTGCAGAGGCTGCAGGCAGGTTCGCAACCCAGCGCTCAACCGCTGCACCACCGGGGAGGCCCAACAGTCACTGTTTTTTAAAAAGCAGATTAGTGAGTGTAATGGGCGTGTGAGCACCACCCTATGTCACCCCGACATTGCCCTGCTACCTTTGATGTGCCGTGTGAACCTGATCAGGTCCCTGGTTCTGGGAGCCTCAGTGTCCCTTCTGTAAGGTGAGGGTAACAGTAGGGAACCCCCATACGCTTGTTGTGAAAATTAAATGGGACCATCTAGGTGGAGACTTAGCCCAGGGCTGGCACAGAGCAGGGGCCACAGAAATGTTTTCATGATGATGATGGTGACAGTAATGGTGGTGGTGGTGATGGTGGTGGTGATGATAATGGTGGTGGTGGTGAGGGTGTTGCTGTTCACAGTCCAGGGAGAGATACCAGCATTAAACCAGGTTTTAAATGGCAGTTCAGGGAGATAGGGTGGGGACTTTGGTACAAAGTCACCAGGGAAGCGACCTTTGGGGTGAGACCCAAATGAAGTCAAGGAGAGGCCATCCAGCGGAGGTGTTCCAGGTACCGGGCCCAGCTCCTGCAAAGCTCTGGGGCAGGACTGTGCCTGGTGGGCTGGAGCAGAGTGAGGGAGGGGGCAGGGTTGTGTGTGCCTGGAGAGGACTTTGCATTTTATTTTGGGGACATGAAATTCTCTGCTGCAGAACAAACCAGGCAGCTCTGCCCCTGCAGGGATCTGTGTTTGGGGGCTGAAAGTTACCAGCCGTTTCCTCCTGGGGCATAGCCAGAAAGGTCCCAGTTCTTTGAAGCAGGCAGCTGAGGTCCTGTTGCCCTTCCTGGGTGAGGGGATAGTTGCTCTGTGACCTCCGGGAGGTGGGCATGAGCTGGGACAGGCGCCCAGGAGTGGCCTCGGAGCCAGGTCGGTTTAAGGTAGGAAGCTGGCAGAGGGGGAGAAGGGAGCTGAGCAGGAGACTCGGGAGTCCCAACAAGACAGCAGAGATGCAGTGGTGGGACCAAGGGGGGTGGTGGGACCAAGCCATCCGTTCTGGCCATCTTGTCCCCCCGTCCATACTGTCTGGGCCTCAACTCAGGAGAGAATGACCTAGAAAAGCGGCCTCAGGAAGGAGTTTGCCACAGGGAAGGATTATGTCCCCTGCGATGCCCAGGGGGTTGAAGATAACCTGCCAACTTTCTCTCCTGACACCTCCCTGCGATTTCCCCCAGCCTGGAAGAGGGAGCTAAGCCTGCCGAGCTCCTGGAGACCAGGGGTCCCTGGGTTTCTTCATGCTATGACCACATTTCCACGATGGCAACCCCCTTCCAGCCACCACTCACACTGCGGGTGCTTCCTGAATCCCCAGGCATCTCGTCTTGGCATTTGCACATTATGTGCCCACCCAAATCTAGGCTTTAGCGCGGGGATTCGTTTCATCTCGTCACAGAGAGGATTACACTGTCTGTAACTGGCCACCTTCATATTTCTTCTTTCATATAAATATGTCTCAGCTCTCTCCCCCTGTGGGGGCTTTAGAATCCCCCAGGGATTCACAAGCGCCGTGGATTAGGGTTTATTTGGTTGATCCGCTCTTCATACACTTAGGTTAGTTCCCTGCTCCTCTGCATGAGGAGATCTCAGCGTCTCTGTGTTGATACATATTAATCTCCTGCATCCCTCAGCGAGCCTGGGTTTATTTATTTATTTGTTGTTTGTTTTTAAAGATGTATTTATTTATGCATACAAGAGCTGGGATACAGGCCAGAGATGTGGGAGGTGAGAGGATTCACCAGAGACAGAGTGGGGAACAGAGCAGGCAGATTGACTGAAATACACTGCTGAGGGGAGCAGCGGGGAGCCAGGAGAGGTCTGCTGCGCCATGTGGGTAGCTCCCTGGCCGGGGATCGAACTTGTGCTGCAGCGGCTGCAGATAGTTTCATAAGTTGCGTCCCAAGCCCTTGCGCCACCAGGGGGGCCCCACCGTTTATTTAGCCAATCCCCTACTGATGGTTACTGAGCTTAGTTTTCTCCCGCTCACCACCCCCCCCCCCCAAAGAACTGCATCTCTGCTGTCTCGTTGGAACACATGAGTCTCACGCGCCTCCTTGTGTCCACGGGAGGCAGGGGCCACAGTTCATTCAGCTGACCTCCTATTGTCCGACACTCAGTCCAGTTCTCTGTTTCAAATGACATCAAGTGGTCCGTGCCGCTGTGTTCCTGCGTGTGAGATTTTCTCAAGGAAATCTTGAGAAGGAAATCTTGAGGATACGTCGCTGCTCGTGTAGTTGCATCACGCCAGTCTGTTGTCACATGGCTTCCTCCCCTCTGTGTCTGTGTCCAAATTTCCCTCTTCTTCCAAGCACGGCAGTCATTGGATCAGGACCTCGTCTAACGTGACCTCATTTTAACCTGATTACTCTGACAAAGTACAAGCTCTTCCCAAGGCGGTTCCCTTCCCGCAGTAAGCGCACGGTTCCTCGGGGCTGCGTGTGTGCACATTCCTGCCTTAAAGATCCGGGAGGGGAGGCAGGAACTGGCCTCCCAGTGTTTAGCGGATCCGACTCTACAGTCTGGGTCCACGGCGAGCCAGGCCGAGGGAACAGCGGGGAGCAGGCAACAGGCATGAGCAGAGGGAAGTAGAGGGATGCCCGGGGGGCTTCAGCTGCTAAGATGCCAAAAATAGCTGCCTGGCAAACAGGGCAGCCGCAGTCCAGCTGCCATCTGGCTGTTTCCTCCACACCCCTATCCTGCTCAACCCCAGGGATCCAGGCTACAGCTGAGCAGAGCTGAGGGGTGCTGGGGGGTCAGCAGAACCAACAGGAGAGGAGGAACAGCTCGGAACGGCAGGCTCGAAGACCCAGGCGTGATGGCCTCTGTTCCTCCACTTCCCATGCTCTCGGCTCCCCTGTGCCCCTCTCCCCCGCGCCTCCGCCCGAAGACTTGCCCGCCGCTCCTCGGGCCTCGGGGCCTTTGCGCTAGCTGCTGCCCCAGCCTGGAAGGTAGCCCCTCGACACCCACGAGCACTCTCCTGCTCAGCTTTTTGGTGTGTATCGTTTCCTGTGGGCGCCCTAACCAAGCACCACAAACTCTGGAACTTCAAACAACAGAAATCTATTCTCACTTTCTGTAGGCTGGAAGTTCAAAACCAAGGTGTTGGAGGGGATGCGCTCCCTCGTGAAGCCCCACAGAAGGGTCCTTCCTGCTTCTCCCAGCTTCTGTTACAGCCAGAAGTCCTCAGCACCCCTTGGCTTGTAGACAAGTCGCTCCAATCCCTGCCTCTCTTCACCTGGCCCTCTCCTGTGTGTCCTCGTACAGGCCCATGGAGACAACACCCTAGCCCGGCTGACCTCGTGTGAACTAATGGCATCTGCAAAGACCCTATTTCCAAAGGAGGTAGGTCCGCTCACAGGTACCAGGGAGCCCACTCTCAGCGCTCAGCTCAAGTGTCAGCTTTCCTAATCTGCGGTCACCCCCTGCTCGCAACCGGTCAGCCCAATCCCCCACCCATGAAGCTTCCCCTCAGAGCCTGTGCACACAAATAAACAGGTAACACAGGGAGGACACGGTGGGGGACCCCAAAAGCCTATTGGTGGGGAACTGCCTGTATCCCCCCAACTGATGTGCGCCCCAGGGGGACAGGATCTACCTTTGCCTTGTTCAGATGTATTCAGAGCCCACTATACAGTGGGCATTCAATAAATAAGATTTTTTTGGTACCCCAAACTTTTACATTATATTTGTTTTGATTTTCCACTTCAATAATTGCTTTCTTTTGCAATTTTTTGGCATAAAGTCCACATGACATAAAAGCCATCCTCTTTAAGTACACATCCAGTGGGTTCTAGTATATTTACAAGCTTGTGCAACCATTGCCATTAGCGCGAGAACATCCCATCACCCCAAAAGGAAGCTCTGTCACCATCAACCATCAACAATTCCCCAATGCGCTCCCCCAGGTCCTGGCACCACCAACCCACTCTCTGCGGCTGTGCCTGTCTGGACGTTCCTCACGGCTGGACTCACACCCGTGGCCTCGTGTGTCTGGCTTCTCTCCCTGAGCGTCGTGTGTCCAGGGCCCCTCCCCAGGGTAGCAAGAGGCAGAAATGCCCCCCCTTTCACGACCAGTGATGTTCCCTGGTGTGGGGGGGCCACAGTTACGCGTACCCAGTCATTCATCTGTGGGCATTTGGGGACTTTCCTCTCTGGGCTGCTGTGAACCGCGCTGCTGGCAACGGGCAGTGCCGGCTCTGCGGTGGCGGGTGCTCAGTCCTCCTGTCAGGTGCCCAGAGCGGGGGTGTCGCGCGGTGGAGAAGCTGGACCTCTGCGCTAACGCTGCCCCACCCGCAGGTGCCCGCGAGGATGGTGGCCCGGCCCTAGGCCCTCGCTCCAAAACATGACCTGCTGGCTGTGCGTCCTGAGCCTGCAGCTCCTGCTCCTGCCCGCCGCCCCGCCGCTGGCCGCAGGCTGCCCGGCCCGCTGCGAGTGCACCGCGCAGACCCGCGCCGTGGCCTGCCCGCGGCGGCGCCTGACCTCGGTGCCCGAGGGCATCCCGGCCGAGACGCGCCTGCTGGAGCTCAGCCGCAACCGCCTGCGCTGCCTGAACCCCGGCGACCTGGCCGCGCTGCCGCTGCTGGAGGAGCTGGACCTGAGCGAGAACGTGATCGCGCACGTGGAGCCGGGCGCCTTCGCCAACCTGCCGCGCCTGCGCGTCCTGCGCCTGCGGGGCAACCTGCTCAAGCTCATCCCGCCCGGCGTGTTCACGCGCCTCGACAACCTCACGCTGCTGGACCTGAGCGAGAACAAGCTGGTCATCCTGCTGGACTACACCTTCCAGGACCTGCGCAGCCTCCGCAGGCTGGAGGTGGGCGACAATGACCTGGTGTTCATCTCGCGCCGGGCCTTCGCGGGGCTGCTGGCCCTGGAGGAGCTGACCCTGGAGCGCTGCAACCTCACCGCGCTGTCGGGCGAGTCGCTGGGCCACCTGCAGGGCCTGGGCGCGCTGCGGCTGCGGCACCTGGCCATCGCCGCCCTGGAGGACCAGAACTTCCGGCGGCTCCCGGGGCTGCTGCACCTGGAGATCGACAACTGGCCGCTGCTGGAGGAGGTGGCCGCCGGCAGCCTGCAGGGCCTCAACCTGACCTCGCTGTCGGTCACCCACACCAACATCACCGCGGTCCCCGCCGCGGCGCTGCGCCACCAGGCTCACCTCACCTGCCTCAACCTGTCCCACAACCCCATCAGCACGGTGCCCCGTGGGTCCTTCCGCGACCTCGTGCGCCTCCGGGAGCTGCACCTGGCCGGGGCCCTGCTGGCCGTGGTGGAGCCGCAGGCCTTCCTGGGGCTGCGGCAGATCCGCCTGCTCAACCTCTCCAACAACCTGCTGTCCACCCTGGAGGAGAGCACCTTCCACTCGGTCAACACGCTGGAGACGCTGCGCGTGGACGGGAACCCGCTGGCCTGCGACTGTCGCCTGCTGTGGATCGTGCAGCGCCGCAAGACCCTCAACTTCGACGGGCGGCTGCCGGCCTGCGCCACCCCGGCCGAGGTGCGCGGGGACGCCCTGCGCAACCTGCCGGACTCGGTGCTCTTCGAGTACTTCGTGTGCCGCAAGCCCAAGATCCGCGAGCGGCGGCTGCAGCACGTCACGGCGGCCGCGGGCGAGGCCGTGCGCTTCCACTGCCGCGCCGAGGGGGAGCCGGCGCCCGCCGTGGCCTGGGTGACGCCGCGGCACCAAGCGGTCACGGGCGCCAGCGCGGGGCGCGCGCGGGTGCTGCCCGGGGGCACGCTGGAGATCCAGGACGCGCGGCCCCAGGACAGCGGCACCTACACGTGCGTGGCCAGCAACGCGGGCGGCAACGACTCCTACTTCGCCACGCTGACCGTGCAGCCCGAGCCCGCCGCCAACCGCACCCCCGGCGAGGCGCGCAACGAGACGCAGGGCGCGCCGCGCTTCCCGCTGGACCTCACCACCATCCTGGTGTCCACCGCCATGGGCTGCATCACCTTCCTCGGGGTCGTCCTCTTCTGCTTCCTGCTGCTCTTCGTGTGGAGCCGCGGCCGCGGGCAGCACAAGAACAACTTCTCCGTGGAGTACTCTTTCCGCAAGGTCGACGGCCCCGCCGCGGCCGCGGGCCAGGGGGGCGCCCGCAAGTTCAACATGAAGATGATCTGAGGGCTCCGGGCCCCGGACCCCGCGGGGGGCCTGTCACCCCGCGCGCGCGCGCCCGCTGATGACACCTATGCATTTTCTAGGGGGGCAGCCTCAAGCGGGCTCCCGCAGAATCCCCCTTTTTTTGTAGATACCCACCCCCGGGACTGGTTTTTTTCCATCAGGGGCCTCTTTTGCAGTTTCTCAAACGTTTTTGTAGGGTTCACTCACGTCTGCTCACCCCTGCCGCGGTGGCTGAGCCGGGTGGAGCCCCAGGGACCCGGGGCCTCGCAGCACACAGCTGCCGCCCTGCGCCCCTGGGGGATGGTCCCGGCCCGGGACACCCCACCCAAAAGGAAGGCACACGGAATCCCACACTTTCCACACGTGGGTCCCCCACCCTGCACTCCCAGAACACACGCGTGTCCACCCCCGGGACAGTTGCAAACCCACTTCTAAGCGGGACAGCTCACGCCCAGCTGGCGCGCGCCGGAGGGCAGAGGGCAGTTCACACCCGGAACACACAGTTTACACTTGGGACACTCAGCTCACGCCCAGGACACACCCAACCCCTGAGCAGATGGCACTGCTGGGCAGGCGGCAGCAGCTGGGCCTTGTGGGGCAGGTCAGGCTCATCCTGCGGGCCCAGCTCGCGGTTGGCCTGCCTGTCCCAGTCTCCCCCGGCCTGGAGAGGCCATCTCCCTCGCTTCCCCCACTCCCTCGCAGCTGCCACTGGCTTCCACAGGGCAGGCAGTTCCTGGGGTCCTGCTGTGTGCCCTAGAGGGACAGCAAGGACAGGGCAGTGGTTCAGGGAGGCCTGGACCGTGGCCATTGGAAAGGTGACCTTTTATCTGCGACTCTGGGGAAGACGTAGGGCCAAAGGAGAGGTCCCAGGCGGAGTGTAGCTCAGCTGAGGGAAGAGCTTCCCCAAGGCTGCCGGCAGCGTGAGCGCCCTGTCACCGGGGTGAGCGCGCAGGAGCTGAGCTTGGCAGAAGTGCTCAGACTTCGGACAGGGATCTTCTGGGGCCCCGCCCCTGCCCCAGCTCTTGCCCCACCTCCACCTGGCCAGCTGACCGCTAGGTCGTTGGGGGAAGAGGCCTGGGGGAAAGTGCCTCCAGGTGACCTCCCCTAGAAAGGAACCTGGTTGCCAAGAGCCGTAGGAAGGACGGTGATCTCAAGGACCTCGTGGGGAGGCTCAGAGTCGGTCCGGTTCCCGCCCAGTGGACGCCTGAGGACCTCTTGGGCCATCGCAGTCCTCATCTGTAACATGGCTCTGAGGCCACCCCCGCTGCTGTAGATATCGGGGCCCATGGGCATGCCTGACTGCTGACAAAAGTCCTGGAACGCTCTGAGAGGAACCGGAGAGAAAGCTGCGCCAACCGTGGAGGTTTGGAGGGAGGGGTGCAGACGGGACCCGGAAGGGGACCCCGGTGTGCTCCTGGGCTGTGACCCGAACCTGCTCCTGCCTCCGCAGAGCCAGACAGACCAGCAGGGCCGAGTGGCAAGCCACGGACCACAGTCCGCCAGGGTGGGGTCCCCAAGCCCAGGTGTGGGGGGACGTGAGCGAGGGCCACAGGGGGTGTCCAGCAGCCCCAAACCCCACCCAAGTCAGGCAGAACTCCTGCCTTAGCATCTTCCTGACCTTGGTTGCCATGACCACCCCAGGGGCCCTCAAAACAACATCCAAGTGCCTTTAGCATCATCGAGGAGGGAGGGGACACTTCTCAGCAGTGTTAGGACTTGCAGAGCATCCGTGTATCGGGATCTCCCAGCCCCTTTGCCTGCCCCTGTCCAATAGGAACCAAGACACACCCCCGTGCCTGAGTGCCCCCCGCCCCCCATGCTGTATTTGGTTGGAATCCAATAAAATGAAAACTATTTAATATCAAAATTCAGATCTTCTATTTCATTCTCATGGAGGCAAGAAGGAGCAAAGGAGAGAGGCTGCTGCGGCCCTGGAGTGAAGGGCGAGTGGGGCTCCCAGAGTGAGCCCCAGAAGTGACCCCGAGCCACGGGGCGTCTGTAGAAGGAGAATGTCTGCAGCGGGGACCTCGCGGTCACAGTTCGGGCACCCCATGATGCCCCCAGGGCTGTGGCGGACACGCCGCTACTCTCGCCTTTCTCGCTCAACCCGGGCACGGCTTGCAGAGCCCGCGCTGCGGAGAGGCGAAGGCGGGTTGGCGGGGGCAGCGGACCTCGCAGGAGGTGGGCCGCTAAGAAGCTGGCAGCGCCGGGAGGTGGAGAAGCCCCAGGCGCGAGTTGGGGCCAGGGCCAGAGCCAGAGGGAGGTTCAGCCCCCTCCCCTCCCACTCTCTCCAGAAGCTGCAGCTTCCTCAGGGTTGTGGGCCTGGGGGGGTGTCTCTTCTGAAGGGGGGCCCTTCCCCTCCCTGCTCTGAGGACTCTGGGAAAAGGCGAGAGCCTTGAGTGCTGGGAATGGTCCTAACGAGGTGCGTTGTCTGCTCTAACCCCAGCTGGTGGACGGGAACCAAGACCGGACCTAGTGCCCGGGCGCAGAGTCCCCACCCCCTGGCACGCCCGTGCTCTTTCTGGAAGGGGGGCCAAGCCAGGGCAGCCTGCAGAGTCCATGGCCAAGAACCGCCTCTCGCTTGCCTCCCTGGCCTCATTTCCCCATGTGAACATGGGAAGACGATTCCTTTCCTTCCTGCAGAAGACAGAAGCAGGACAGGGAATTACCAGGGGCTCTGGAACGACCCCTCTGTGCCTGATTCCAAAGAAGCCAGAGGGATGGGTGCTGGCAGGGGACCCTTCTTGGGGGTCCCAATTCCCCTTTTCCTCCTACAACAAAGGCAAGTGATTGCCTGGTGTGCCTCATTTTCCCCATCTGCAGGGGCTGCCCAAACTTCTGATTCAAACCAGGTATAAGGCCCAGGATTTTGGGGGCCCCCTGGTGGCGCAGGGGTTAAAGACAGAGCTATCAACTATTGCCAGCCACTGCAGTACGAGTTCAATTCCCTCCCGGCCAGGGAGCTACCCACATGGCGCAGCAGATCTCTCCTGGCTCCCCGCTGCTCCCCTCAGCAGTGTGTTTCAGTAGCTCTGCCTGTTCTGCCTCCAACTCTGTCTCTGGTGAATCCTCTCACCCCTGTACCTCTGACCTGTACCCCAGTTCTTGTATGCATAAATAAATAAATCTTTTTTTAAAAAAGGAAGATTCAGGATTTCCCGAATCCTATCTCATTCTTGGGGTGCTGTGGGAATGGGAGAGACCCCACATGGGGGTCTTTCTAGGGTAACCAAGGCCCAACTAAAGTGGGACCCATCCCATTGGCAGCAGGAAATTAAAGGGGAGGCCTCTCAGACAGATGTCAATGGGGTTCCAAAAAACACAGGAGGGGGGACCTCCCCTGGTGGCGCAGCGGTTGAGCGCTGGGTTCCGAAGCTGCCCGCAGCCTCTGCAGTGCCAGTTTGATCCCCGGCCACGGCCACCCAGCGAGGGTCCCACAAAAAAAAAAACAAAAAAACACAGGATGGGGACCCAGCCATCAGCACTCCCTGGGCTGGGGGAAACCAAATACCCTTGCCTTGATGTCCCCCCAGATAGTGCAAGGATGGTATGCTGGGTCTCTCCAGCTCGCCCCGCACACTCACACACCCCAAGCCCTGTCTTCCCCATAGACACGCACTCTGGGTGCGTCTCCCTCCCCCTCCCATATCCCCTCCAGCCAGTGTTCTTTCCAGAAGACTCCTCTTGTATAAATCAACTCCCCTCCCCTAAGATCCTTTGCAGTCCCTCTCTATGGGCCGCCACGCGTGGGGGGGCCATGCCCAGGAATGCAGCCTCATTGCTGTGTGGTCTCCGGAAAGCCGCTGCCCTTCTCTGTGTTTCCATCTGTTCATCTATGAACTGTTGTCCTGTTTTGTGCAGGGACGCAGACACGCTTCTTACGGCTGCTGTGACAAGACTCAGTGGCTTGGCCCAGCACGCATGTGTCCTCTCACAGCCTCGGAGGCAGGAGTCTCTCCGGGCTAACCCTGGGCGGGGCAGCTGCGCCTCGGGGCTCCGGGGCCCCTCTCCTGCCTGGTCCAGTTTCTAGAGGAGCCGCACCGGGGTCAGGCCCTTCCTCCCTCCTCACAGCCACACGCGCCTCTTTCCGGCTCTGCCTCGGACCCTCCTCCCTCTGTGAGGACCCTCTGGCGGGCACTGGACCCCCCCCATCCTCATTGATCAGCTGTGTGACCTCAGAGCCTTGGCACGCACGTCGCACGTTCACCGGTTCTGGAGAGAGACGTCTTTGGGGCCGTGACTCTGGCAGCCACAGAAAGGCCAGTGTCACGTGAATCCATGAGCATTGACCCCAGGCTCCGTGCCAGGCGCAGCCTGAATGCAGCAGGCTGCCCCCGGGGCTGGGGCAGACACGGGGGTCATTCACATGGTGGTGGCCATCTTGGGGGTGTGCTGAGGCAAACTGGCCCCACTCTGGGCCTCAGGGGAGCATTGTCCAACAAGGTACACATTAGGGTGTTTGCTGATGTCATCTGGCAAAGAGCCCTGGGTCGCTCCAAGGAGGGGGTCCCGTGCCCCAACTGCCGACCACCCTGGGATGTCACCCTATCCCAGCTGCCCCCTCCTCACCTCCTCAGCCCACCCCAAGCTTGGCCAAGTCTCTGCCACACAGGACGGGGGCCAGGAAGCAAGGGAGTGAGACACCTCAGGGCCTCAGGCATAAAATCTAAGAGGGGACAGACTCCTTGCAGCTGTCAAGTTGAAGGCCTTCGTGGCCCAGGATCTCACCGGGCCTGGCTCAACCCTGCCTGGCTCTCCTCACCCTAATCCCAGCCCTTGTTCCAACAAAACTGGATTTATAAAACCAGTGCTCGTGGGCCTCCCTGATGGCACAAGTGATTAAGATGCAGCACTATGAAGCTAGCCGCAGCCTCTGCAGCACGAGTTCGATCCCCGGCTAGGGAGCTACCCACATGGCGCAGCAGACCTCTCCTGTCTCCCCGCTGCTCCCCTCAGCAGTGTATTTCAGTCAAACTGCCTGTTCTGTTCCCCACTCTGTCTCTGCTGAATCCTCTCACCCACCACACCTCTGGCCTGTACCCCAGCTCTTGTGTGCATAAATTTAAAAAAATCTTTAAAAAAAATAAAAACAGTCCTTGAGCCATAAGTGGGCCAGTTGGATTTTGTAAATACTACATCAAAACCTGCTCCCTGAGGGCATCTGGGGGTCACCACTATAAATCCTGTGCCTAAGGTGAGCACCTTGCTGGCCTCAACCTAATCCTGGGTGAGCTCAGTGGGGCGACCCCCCACCCCCAGGCAACCCCCAGGTGTCACCGAGGGAACACAGCCCCCAGCTGGAGAAAAGCTGGACAGTAAAGAGCCATTTCTCTGCACTTCTGGCTCCTTCCGTGACACCTGGAAGAGCCCGGAGTTGAGTGAATCCACCCTCTTGTAATTCCCATTCCCTCCCCGGAACCGCTTTCCTTCCTTGCACCCGAATCAGCAGGTGCTTCACGCATTAAAACGCCGCCGACATAAAGAAGCCAGGGGCTGGAAAAGCCCAGCGAAGCATGAAGATGCTGACTCACGCTGTGGCGTCTTGCAGGCCAGCAGGTCAGCATTGCTCAAAACGTGGCCCAGGACTCCTAGAGGGGGTGGGTTCACGGTCCTTCTCGCACGGGGGGTCGGGGTGAGGACGGGGCCAGCCACGCCCTGATCACTTATTGTCCAGCCTGGACCTGCTGTGTGACCCCCGCCCTCTCTGAGCGCCAGAGGACACGGGGCGGGGTGGGGGGCGGGGAGCCCGAGGGCGAGCCCTCCCGTAGGAAGCAAAGCCATCGGGTTTGGAGCCACTTCTCGGGGTTCTTCGCACTGTGTGGGGAGAGGCTGGGTGTGGCGCGGGGGCGGCTCTGGGTGGCTCAGGCAAGGCCCAGAGCGGCCTGACGGGCACGAGCATCAGCTGGAGTCCCTGGATCCTCATCGTTCTTGACTGTCCGTGCTGCTCCCTAGATAGCAAATGTCCTTCAAATAAACGCATTGAGGTGTGGGGAGGGCTGTGAGAGGATTAGATTTGATAAAGACAAATCCAGCTACCGTGGCTGGAAGGAAACAGCAAGTCTGTTCTCTGGAGCACGGAGGGTGGTGCCGTGCCCGACGTCACACAGTGAGTCAGGACGGAGCCCCAGGCTGCTGGCAACCCCCTGCCCGGAGCTGAGGCAAGTCACTCCTCACTCAGCACAGGGTCCTGGGCCAGGAGGGACGTGGGGTGCACGTAGCTTCTCAGACACCCCACAGAACGGGAAGTGCTTCTGGAGGAAGTGAAAGCCGCAGACCTGGTGTTTCTCCCTAAACAGTCACGGCTGGGCTTGCCGCCCGCCCCACGGTGGGGACATCTGCTGTCCAGGGCCCCGGCTCCCCACTGCCGCCCCTCAGCCTGTCTTCTGTCTCCCTCGCCCTGCTCTCAGCCCTGGAGCTCTTTGCTCTGGGTCCCATCTCCTGATGCGGCCCAGACACCGCCTGTGAGGGGTGCTGGTCCACGCGGAGGGTGGGCGGGGGCGCCCGGTCAGTGGGGAAGTGATGCAGAAGGCCCGCCCGCGGCCTGCGCTGTGGTCTAACTGCTCCCCGGCATTTCCTGCAGCGACAGGTCACACTCCTCCTGGGAGGCCCGGGGCTGCAAGCTTCTGGGAGTGTGTCTCCGAGCCCCTGTTCCGCTGACCCTCCAGCCCCCCAGGTAGGGAGCCGCAGGGGCGAGGGGGAGGCTGCGCAGGGAGTGGGCAGAAGCGACTAGGTTTTGAGATTGGGTGGCCTGGATTCGGGGGGAAGGCTGGGGGTTGTGCTCTGGAGACAAGGCCCAAGAGCCCCGGGGTATGACTGCCTACCCCTAGCTGCCCCCCAACAGCCCATCCTCCTGGCTGGACTGTCCACACCGCACAAGTACAGAGTTCACGCCCTGAAAAGTTGCGGGGTGGCCCAGAAAGGGCAAGGAGCCCACCAGGGTCACACAGTGAAGTCAAAGCTGGGCAGGAAGACCCCCCATCCTGGATACCGCACCCCGCTCACGCGTGCCCCCCGAACTTCCACAGCAGCATGAGCAGCCCTGAGCTACCTACTGAGGCCCCCGGTCCCGATGTTCCCCGCTGGGCCGCTCAGCCCACCTACAGCAACCTTGGTGAGCCACTGAGAGGCGCCCCGGGCCTTTGGCCCGGGCTGGGGGTCTGGGCTGGGGGAAGCCTGGGCTGGGGGGGGGTCTGTGCTGGGGGGGTTGTGCTGGGGGTCCTGGTTAGGGGTTGGCAGGGGGTGGCTTGTGCCTCAGTGACGGGGCGCAAGGTCGGAGTGGCCCAGTACCGCTGGAGGAGCTCTGTGCCGAAGGACGCGAAAGGCACGACGTCCACGTCCCCTGCCTTTGATAACCCTGCGCTGCGTGAATAAGCCTGTTGCCTTCGCCCGAATGAGGCAACAGGTTAAAGAGGCCGTGTAGGGAGGCAGGGTCCCTGGAGCTCCATCGCAGGAAGTTTCTCTGACCCTGACTCTTCACTCCTCTGAGCCTCAGCTTGGCGCCCCCACCTCACAGGGCACCCCGCACTTGGGGCTAGAATGATTTCCACTTCAGAGAGGAGGCCGAGGTGTGGAGCCCTGGGCGCGGGCCCCACAGTGCAGGTCCTCACCCACTTCTCCCCACACAGGTGAGATCCGGGCGCACCTGCTGCCTGCCAAGGCCTGCCGCTCGCGGGCATCTGGGTCCCTCTCCACCGACCAGGAGTCCTCACCCCCACCCCTACCCAAGAAGACCCTAGCCAGGACCAGGTCCCTGCCCCCCCGGGTGGCCGGCACTCCCAGTCCCAATCCAGGTCAGCCTCGCAGGCGCTTCCTGGGGTCCCTCAGTGTCAACGAGAGCTGGGCAGGTGCCCATAAGGCTGGGCTGGCGTGTTCCCCTGCAAACCTGCCCTTCGAGTGGCCCGATGCCCACCTGGATCTCTCTCTCCGTGACCTGTCCCGCCTGGAGGCTGTGGACGCAGCGCTGGAGGCCCGGCAGCTGAAAGGCCTCCACACCATGCACGCCCGGCTCAAGGCCCGGCTTCTGGGGGGCCACCCTGGGCCCTGCCACCCAGGCCACAGCTTCCGCCTCCTGGACAGGTCACCCTGCGTGGAGAGTGGGGACACCCTCTACTACCGTATGGTGCGAGTGGATGAGGAGGCGTGGCATGTCTTGGCTGCCAAGGTGAGCCCTCCCACCCCTCCTTGGAAGGGTCCCCCATTGTCCCCCTTGGGCAGAACCCAGAATACCTGCATCTTGGGCCTCATAGTTTATTTTGCAACTAACATATGCATTACCGGTCGGCCCTCGGACTCGTGTTTCCAACATGTGGGGCTGCCAGCATCTGAATCACCTGGGAGTCTTGTTCAAACCTCCTCCCCATCCCCCAATGGCCCGGGAACCTGCATTTTGAGTCTCCCCGTGAATTCTGGCACTAGAAAGCCGCTGACTCATTAACCACCGCCAGCTGACTGCTCCCGCTTGAAATAATAACATTCAACCGTGCTGCGGGCACTCGCTTTGGGCCTCGTGCCGCTCTAAGGGCTTTTATTTTTATTATTTGTGTGTGGGGGACCCTCGCCGGTGGCCGGGGAACGAACCGGCGCTGCAGAGGCTGTGGGCAGCCCCGCAGCCCAGCGCTCAACCGCGGCACCACCAGGGGAGGCCCTCTAAGGGCTTTTAGACGGATTTGCTCATGTTAACACTCACCTACATGGGGTCGGCCAGGAGCGTGTCACTGCGAGTCATCCGGCTCCTTTGTGCACACACTAAGAATAACACACGACTCTGTCAAACGGACCGCACCACCGAGCGCCAGGTGCCCCCAGGAGCCCCGTCTGGGTGGCAGGGTATGCTGTGGGGCCCGTTTTACAGACCTGCAGGACCTGAGTTGCTGCTGACAGAGAGCCCTTGAGGGCGGCTCCATCCTGGTTGCCGATCGCAGCCCTGGGAGTTTATTTTTAACATACCCACCCCAGGAACTGTCATTGTTAAACGCCCCCCTTTCTCTCCCAAGGTGATCTAATATAACCCCAGAACTCCACCAAGATATTCGCTGTGGGCGCCGCGAGGCGCAGGCACACGTGACCCCTGAGCAGGGTCGGGGCAGGACCCACATGTGGCAGAGTAAACAGCTGGCTGCTGGCTTCACCCTGATGACCCGTCCCGTGATAGACAGGGGACAGATCAGGTTCTAGATTATGAAAATTAACTTCACCTATTTCTTTTCACTTTTTTTTTTTAACATGGCTTGCTAGGAAACGCTAAGTGAAGGCTGGCCCTTGTATTTTATTGGACAGCAGCTCCCCGTCAACCACCAGCTCCCAGGGGCAAAAAGCCGCCCCTTGGCAGGCTGGGAGGTCGGAGCCCGGCACACCATTCTCCCCGGGGCAGTCCTGCAAACCCTCGCTCTTACGAACACCCCAGTGAACACTAACCCTACTTCGGGAGACGCCTGGCAGGAGTCCCCACCCCAGCCATGAAGGGAGTGGGCTGGGGTGGGCTGCAGGCTTCGGGGAAATGCAGGGCTTCCCTGACAGGAAAGGCTGTTTTGGTGGGGGAGGGAGGGCTCCGTGGTCTGGCCCTGATGGTCCCTTCTGCCCTGCAGGTGCCCAAACCTGGAACCAAAGAGCCACACCCGTGGGGCCTGGAGCTACAGGCTTCACTGCCCCCGCATTTCAACCTTCAGGGGCTGTGTGGCCTGGTGCCCGAGGGCGCACTACCTGACACCCCCTGGAGAGGCCCCGTGATGCTCACGGCAGAAGTTCCTGAGCGCACTGTGGCCCAGTGGCTGGCGGAGGTGCACGCCCAGCGGCCCTCAGAGTTGGCATGGGCCATCGCCCTGATGCTGCTGCAGCTGAGCGCCGCCCTGGAGCACCTGGAGGATCGAGGCGCGGTCCTGACCGAACTTCGGCCCGAGAACCTACTGCTAGCAGTGCCTCGGGGCTGCCCGACTCATGGACCCCCGCGCCTGCTGCTCGCAGACTCTGGCCATGCCCGCCCGCAGCCTCCAGGACTGCCCGGCACCCACGCATTGCAGCTGGGCCGCTTGCTCCATGAGCTGCTTGGGCCCTCCATGCCGGTGGCCACACCCTTGGCCCTGGGCCTGAGGCACCTGGCGGCCCAGCTGTTGCACTTGAGGCCCTCAGCCGCCCAGACGCGCTGCGCACTCCAGACTCTGCTCTGGGGACCCGGACCGGAACTCAACAGTCACACGGCACCACTAGGCTCCTGGCTTCGGGTCAGGCGTACCTTGTTGGTTCTGCACCTGGCTGAGCGGGCCGCGGGTGGGGAGGCCCCTGGCCTGGAAGACTGGCTGTGCTGTGAATACCTCACCGAGGCCACTGAAGCCTCGTTGGGGCACGCCCTGGCCCTGCTGTGGCATTAACCTCTGCGGAGAGGGACAGGACTGTTCTGGGCATCGCCAAGACGCAGGCACCTTCCACAGGTCTGGTGCTGGTGGTCAGCATGGTGGGGTGGATGCCCACCCTCAGGGGGTTAAAATCTCATCGGCGATGCAGGGGTGTGCACCCCTCCCCTCCAAAGCCTGTCTTCTTATATGCTGAGGGCTTAGGCCCAAGGCCTCTCTGAGAATGCAGGTGCCACCCCACTCCTTTCAGATACAAGGGCCAATGCCTCCTGAGGCTTTCTGATGCCAGGGCAGCTCAACCCACTTCCGGGTGTGGACAACCCCTGCCAATCAACATCTGAGTATGCAGATCTCTCTCCCACCTTCCAGAAGATGCTGGGGTACTCTTCTGATGCCAGGGTCTGCTGGGCACTGTAAGAGTGGACACTGCCCTTCTGAGGCCAGCAATCGCAGTCTCTAGCCCAGGAGCACCCCTTGTCCTTAGTGCCAACATCCTTGTCAGGAACCGCCTGAGGCCTTCAGGGAGGTGGGAAACCCTGTGGCCCCAGCACAGACTGCCCTTTGGTCCCCAAGCCCTGCTACCTCCCCAATCTCCCTTACAGGCGTCCCCACACTGATCCTCTGTCGCAGGCTAAATTCTGTCCAGTCTCTACTCTAAGCCTTTGGATGAGATGCTCCATCTGACAGACCTTTCAATGTCACCTGCTCTAAATAAGTTCCCCGTCCCGGCCCTCTCTGGCTCATGAGGTGGCCTAGGGCAAGGACAGGAGCCCTGAGGGGTCCCACTGCCCTTGAGCGCAGTTTGCGCCCCAACACCCTCCTGGATGGGTCTAATCCCAATATAAGTAGATCCCTCTCCTGCTCAGACATCTATAGCTCCCTAGGGCCCTCAAAATAGACACCCTCTCCAAAGCTCTGCAAGCTGCCACCCCTCCTGCTCATTGCTCACCCCTGGCTGCGCTTTCAGAGCCGGCCCGGATTGTTTCCTCACCGGAAACACTGTTCCTTCTACTCCTCTGCTGCACACCTACTCATCAAACAACCTGGCCCTGCCCACATACTTGGGGACAAAGGGAGTCTCTGTCCCCGCAGACCTTTAAAGGCTGGTTCCATCATCACTCAGATGGCCCCCCACCTGCCCCCGCCCCCAACCACACACACCTGGGTATACTGGAATCCCTGAGCTGTTTCCCAGCAAGGCCCAGATAGCAATCTCTGGGCCACGTTCCCAGATGCCGCCAGCAGGTGGCGCCGCCACCCCACCAACTTTAGAGGAGTATCACTCACCACCTCCGCCTTCAGCTCCCCTTCTTCCCAGCCTGGCACCTGTGACCCAGCTACTTCCACCCCAGAAGTGCTTCTGCTCCCGCAAGCCGCTGCCAAGTCCAACGGCCACTGGGCTGCAGTCACACCCCGTGTAAAAGTCCCAATGGGCCCTGGCCCTACCCCAACCATCCCAAAAGGCCGAGTGACTGGTGAGATCAAGGGCACCACCTCCTGGTGAGATCAAGGGCACCACCTCGATCGGTGGGCAGGAACCCCCCCCCACCCCAGGGAGGAGTGGCACAGCTTGCTGCTGTGAGACCAGCGCCTCTGGGAAGGAAACTGCCTTCCACAGCCTTTCCAAGCCCCGGCAGCCCAAGGTGCAGTACTGGGGCGGATACCACTCAGATACCACTCGACCCGCCCTGGAGGCAAAGGGAGTGAGGCGTGGAAGCTGCCAGGAGTTCTGCCACAGCATGACTAAGAGCTGAAGGGCCCTGGAGTCCACAGAAACCAGCTGTAGCCAGGAGTGCAAGCCCTCAGCCACCCCTCTGAAAAATGGGGCCAAGTCAGCTCTGACATGCTGCGCAACCCCCACCCACCTCGGGAAACAAAGGACACCTTCCCTGGACCCAAGACCCACCCTCTTCCAGCCTCCCAGTCCCCAGGTTAACACCACTGAGCCAACATGGTCTTGGAGATGTCATCACTTTATTCAGAATTTTGATAGTAGTAATTAGTATCCATCTTTCCAAGTTAAGAGACCTAGGATTATTTCCAAAAGACTTCAAATAAGAAACTCCTCAAAGTACAAGGATAATCTGAATCACCTTAAACCAGCAATAAAAAAGTAAAATATAAATTTTTATTTAGAATTAAAGCAAATACTTCAGTATCACAAACACAATATTAAACTTCAAGAAATATACGGCTAATTTGGAGTGAGCGTTTATTTGCACAATTACAACATGCGGACAAACCCAGTAACGAGCAGGCCTGACGGCAGAGCACAGAGCTGTCGCCACCCCACAGAAAAGCTTGACAGGGAAGGGGCTGCAGTGAGGGTGCCAGCAGGGGAGGAGCCGGGCGGGCCTGTCCACTACCCCTCCTCCTCACCCGAGGACTCTCTCTCGAATGTGTAGGCCATGAAGCAAGCGTCGGGTCTCTTGGGGACAAGGGGATGCCCTGGTCTCACAATCTCAAAGCCCAAAAAACTGAAGGTACGGAGCAAGGCAGCTGCAGGAGAAAAGGCCATCAGAGCTGCCCCACCGACCCGTGCCAACACCCCTCCCCACACGTGCCCAAAGGCCCAGGGCGCAGCAGGACCCGGGCCTGCGCCGCCTTTCCTCCCTGCGGGGGAGGGGCAGTCACTTACCTCTGTCATCACGATTTTTGTGGAAGCAGATGAAGACGTGGTCAGCGTGGAGCTGCTCCTCCGCGAACTCAAGAAGAACTGCAAAGCTGAAGCCAGCTGTCAGCACCGGCTGACTCGAGCGCCCCACTGCCCCCTCCTGCCCATCCACTGGGTGCGCCCCCACTCTTCCCTGTCCAGTCTGGATCCCAAGGCCCCCCCACTCCCAGGACAAGATCACCTCTGTGGGACTGTGCTGGGCACTATCGGATGCCGAGCCACAACCCAGGCACCACCAACTCAACACCAAGACGACCCAGCATTCCCCCAAGGTGAATACTTGCGTTAGTCCACTGTTCAATAAGGGGTCCCCAGTCTGACTCTAGACCTGGGCGGCCCTCCTTCCCCAAGGGGTAGCAGCACACCCTCACCTGTCTTTGCTCCCCTCGGGCAGGGCCCCACCAGGGATCTCGATGTAGAGGCAGCCGCTGCTCAGCACCGCTCTCCAGTGAATGTGTTTGGTGTCTGTGAGCCTGGACTGGACATTGAGAATCCTTGTCTTGTTATTAGACGTTAGTTCCTCTGTTACATTCAGCCGATTATCCTGCAGAGGGAGCGCACCAAACCCACACTTGCACCCACATCCACGGGCAGATCATTCTCCCCTGCAGCTGCACCAAAATTTGGAAAATCCCCCCAAAGCACCCAGTCACCAGCCCCCGCAGTGCCGTTTGGCTGAGTGTGGAAATGCAGGGAGTGGGAGCAGAGACTACAGTTGTGTGGGACAAGGCCAACCCGATCTGCTGTTTGTGTCATGAACCCCGTGGGTACCTGGTAGGTACACAAGTCTCCAGCAAGTGGGGCCACACACCATCCTCTCCCCCCAACCTTGCAGCAGAGGACCCAAGATACTTACTGAGTAAAATAAATTAGCTGAAAGATTGTGATCCCTCTGACTATTCCCTCGCCCACCTGGGATCTTCAGGGGTGGGTGAGGGACATCAGGAGCACCACCGAGGCCCCGGACCCAGGTTACTACAGCAGTTGAGGGAGACCCTGGAACTGGAGAAAAATGAGCTGGTCAGCAGCAGGCAGGCTAGGCATTCCAGGAGTCCCTCCTTCCCTGCTGCCTGCTAAGTCTAAAAGTCAATGTCCACCTCCTGGGGCAGCTCAGGCTCCGCCCTGACCAGTCTGAGAAAGGACCAGTGACTGAGACAGGCCACGGTGGCGATATGGGTCACGGGCCCAACATCCCTTTAGCAGGTCCTTTATGATCTCAGGAAGATAAGCACTTGGTCTCCCCCCTCATCCCATTCTGCCTCAAGTTGTGTTCCTGAGCCTAACTGCAGGAAACACCTGACACCCCAGGTCCTGGGAGCCCACAAACTTGTCTTCACTAGCAGCCCCTGCCCAGAGCGGCTCCTCTGTTTCACAGGGTCACCAGGCAGCGCACACCGCAGACTGTCTGGGTTTGTGACCTCCAGCAATAACGAAGTGGGGGGGAGGGGGCAGGGCCCTGCGAGGTTGCGTCATTTTGGAGTCTGAGGCCCTGGCCTCGGGGGAGAGATTTTCACAATCGCTCGTTCCAGCACCAGCAGCCATTTGCTGCGCAACGTAAACAGGTCTCCCAAAGTCGCCTCCATTTTGCATGGCTACTATCGGGGCCCCCCCAAACACTCATCTTGAAGGATACCCCAGGGGCCAGGAAAGCGCTCGCAACATCTTGCCAACCACAACAGCAGCGCACTTCCTGCAGGCCCCTGGCCGACAGCACTTTCACCCGAAACCTTCTCTTCAAGAGACCGCGCACCCCGGGCTGGGACGCCCCGACGCCTCCCCCAGAATCAACGCGGAGCCTTTCCGGGGGCGGTGGCCGCCCGGACCCAAGGACTAACAGGGCGCCCGCCTCTTGGGCCACGGCGGGGCCGGGCCTTCTCCGCACCGCACGGCGCTCGCGAAACCCGCGGCCGGGGCTGGATGGCCGCGCCCGGAAAACGCAGATTCACGGGACTCGCGGGCCCGACCAGGCCTGGGGCTAAGTCAGCCCCCAAATCTGACCAGGTAGACCTCAGGGGCCCCCAACTCGCCTAAGTACCCCTGCCCTGCCCCCGCCCCCACCGGGAACCCGCCCGGCGCGACTGTGGTCTTGACAAAGGGGCGGCCCTCGCGCTCGGGACGGGGGCGGCATCGCGGCGGCTCCAGCGGGCCAGCGCTTCTGGAAGCTTCGGGCGGGGGCGGGGTGCTCACCTCTCGCTGCTGCGGCCGCCGCTGCTGTGCAAACTGAGGAGCGGCATGGTGTAGCTGGCGTGGACGGTAGCGCTGGGTTTCTCCCCCTCCTTCTCTCTGGCGAAGCAGTGGCTGTTGAGGATCCGCTGCAGGGAGGATTTCACCATCCGGCCGCTGGGGTCCGAAACCAGGAAAACCTCCGCTGCGCCTCTCCGCGCCGCCGCCGCAGCTCGCCGTTCGCAAAATGGCGCTGCCGCCGCCGCCCGCCTTTATAGGCAACTCGCCCAGGCCACGCCCCTCACGCCGCCGGGAACGCGGCCGCACGAGGGGGAGGGGCATCGGGGCCGCCGGGAAAACCTGGCGTGCCCGCCCCTCCTGGCGCCTGATAGGCGGACAACTTGAGATAGGCGCTGGGGAGGCGTTCAGGATTGGTCCAGATGTTTCGGGTCCGCCCCTTCTGTATGGCGTCGCTCTGCGGGCTCCTAGGGGGCGGAGCCATCCTGTCTCCGGGAGCGCGCCGCGCGCGCCCCGCCCTGCCCCCACGGCCGGACCTTGGAGCCCGGGTCTTCGTCGGGGCGGGTTTCGGGGACCCTCGGAGCGGCCCAGGCTTCGCTCTGGTCGCGGTCACTCTCGCCGGGGTCCGTTTCCCCAGCGGGACCCCTCCCGCCCCCGGCAGCTGGGAGCGACAAAGGCCCCGAGTATTTGGGGGTGGGGGGTCCAGTGCCGCCGTCCGCCGCGCGGGGGACACGGTAGTGTCCGGCCGCGCCCGCGCGGGTGATGGCGGGGCGGGTGACTGCTGCCTGGCCCGGTCGCTCGTGTTTTACAGAGATGCTGTGTAAATTTAGGAAAATTCTATGCATACCATTTGGATTTACCGAGCAAAAATATTACTCCTGGCAGGTGAAGTCAGATACTTTGTGTGAACTAAAATTTGCCCCAAGCAAAATTCACCTCAGATTCACTAATATTTCACGTCTAAACTAGATTTTGCATTTACTGAGCAAAAATATTATTCTTTTCAGGTTCTACTTTTTCTCATGGCTCTACTCTTTAGGGACAAATAGAAACACCAAAGTTGCGTAGATTTGAAGGAACGCCTGTTTTTTGTCTTTTTTTGTCCTCACAATTCCTGCCTCTGATTTTTAATTTCCTATCTACTGTGACCGTTTGGGTTAAAAACACACACTTTTTCCCCAAAGGGACCCTAATTATTACGAAACTAACAATTTCCTCTCCATAGTATGCAGCTGTGTCTCCAAGTTGCCTTTCATCTGGAATGCGGTATTTCTTATCTATATAGTATTTATAAGAAATAAAAATGCCTGCAGCTTTCATATAACGTCTCTGGGTGTATAAGAGAGAGAGTGATTAAACTCCACAGAAACTAATGATTGCAAATATTAGGCCAACCAAAGAAATTTCCCAGGGACAGAATATTTAATCATGTCATTGTTTATAATTGCTGCTAATGGTGAAAACTAAAAGTAGATGGGTTTTTATTTAACTTTATATGCAACTATTTCAATCTCTCTACAGAGGTATATGCATTCATCCAGGGCACTCAGCCACCCACCATGGGTATGTTTCACTATCCTCTGTATTTGTAGGATTAATATCTTTGTTATTATAGAGCCCTGTTTTCTGGAGGCTGAAAGTGCCTCCAGGTTTTGAAATCTGGTTTTTGTTTCTTGGTAGCTTTCTGGTGTCCTGCACAGATGGGCAGTTCTGAGGCAAGAATCCAAGATCCAGACCTGCCAATGACTGGCCACTCAGCACCCAATCACCGTGTTTAACCCCTAGGACTGAGGCCCTGTAGAGAAATTGAAATAGTTACATATAAAGTTAAATAAAAATCCATCTACTTTAAGTTTTCACCATTAGCTGCAATTCTAAACAATGACATGATTAAATATTCTGTCCCTGGGAAATTTCTTTGGTTGGCCTAATATTTGCAATCATTAGTTTCTGTGGAGTTTTAATCACTCTCTTACACACCCAGAGACATTATATGACTCCCCAGTACAGAGGGTGTGAGGCTAGATGCAGAAGTTGTGTAGTGGGGTGTCTCCAGGAGCTCCCCCTCACCCAGTGGGCCAGAATCTGGGGAACAAATTCAAGCAATAGCTAGGCCTCTTTGGTTCACAAAGAACCCTCAAAAGGACCAAGACTCCAGGTAGGGGACTTTTGTCACTGGCAGGCCTTGTGCCAACCCAGGTATGCTTTTGTTTGGACTCATTGTGGTTGGAGAGAAAATAATTAGCCTTCTGGTAAAAATCAAGCTGATCAGCTTGTTTAAAAAAAAAAAAGCCTCCCTGGTGGCGCAAGGGATTAAGCACCGCACTATGAAGCAATAGCCTCTGTAGCAAGAGTTCAGTCCCCAGCCGGCCAGGGAGCAACCCACATGGCCAGGCAGACCTCTCCTGTCTCACCCACTGCTTCCCTCAGCAGTGTTTTTCAGTCAAACTGCCTGTTCTGTTCCCCTCTCTGTCTCTGGTGGATCCTCTCACCCCCTGCATCTCCGGCCTGTACCCCAGCTGCTTGTATGCATAAATAAATAAATTTCTTTTAAAAAAAAAAAAAAAGGCAGGGGCTGGAGGACCAAAGGGAGTGCAGGGTTGGACAGGGAACTTCACCACAGGTGCACCTGAGGGCTCCCAGCCCAGGGTGGGAATGAGGGCAGTATCCCATCTGCCTGGTCAGGAGCGGGGGTTCTGACAGCTCCCTCTGGGCCGCCAGGGAGGCAGGATGTCTGGGTGCAGGTGAGGACCATTTTCAGCAGTGTTACTCACTGGGAAGCCGGGGGGAAGCGCCTGTTACCACTAAGATTATAAACACTGAGGCCAGAACAAAATCTTCCTGACGTCCTCCAGCACTAACAGGCTTACTTGTGTTGGGTCTCGGGTCTTGAATTTATGGTGCTGGGACACTGAGGTAGACATTAATTCCCACTTTCCACATTTGGGGCTGGTGACTCTGTTGGGGCTCTCCTGGACTGTGGGGTCTTGAACAGCATCTCTGACCCCCATCCACTTAATGCCAGGAGCACCCACCATTGCAATGACCACAGATGTCCCAGATAATACCCAGTGACCCCCAATGTCACTTTCTCTGTCTCACCTGAGGGAATAGGCAGATGACGTCACCTGTGCCTGTGACGAACTCAGCAGGCCATGCTGACAAGACTCCAGATCAGCACAGGTGTCCAAGGCAATCACCCAGTGGTCTTGGGGGCCAAGAGAGAAAGCAGTGTGAGTGGGGAGCATGTAGGAGGTGAAAGATCCTGGGCTGTACAAGGGATAGAGGGCTTCCAGGAGGTGGTGAGTGCTGAGTTGCTGGGAAAGGATAGCAGAGGGTATAAGACAGGCAGGTGGGGGGCCCAGCCTGATTGTCCCAGTATGGCCAAGTTAAGCATCTGGGGCAGGAGAGGCTGGGAATCTCATATGAATTTTTTTAAAGATTTATTTATTTATGCATACAAGCACCAGGTACAGGACAGAGCGGGGGAGGCAGGTGAGAGGATTCACCAGAGACAGAGTGGGGAGCAGAACAGGCAGATCCACTGAAATACACTGCTGAGGGGAGCAGCAGGTGAGTCAGGAGAGGTCTGCTGCGCCATGTGGGTTGCTCCCTGGCCAGGGATTGAACTCGTGCTGCAGTGGCTGCAGACAGCTTCATAGGTTGTGTCTCAACCCCTTGCACCACCAGGGAGGTTCTCATATGATTTTTAAAAAGAATTGATGAAGTATAATCAGATGAACAGTGCCTTCAAAGACACCCACAACATAAATGGTGATGTCACTTGATGTGGTAAAGGGATTTTGCAGGTAATATTGAGTTGAGGACCCTGAGATGGAGAAGGGTCTTGGATTCCTGGGGACCCAGAGTTTTCACAAGTGTCCTTACAGAGGGAGGAGGCAGACCCCACTGGAGCCTTGGAGGAACCAGCCTGCCACATCTGGGTTTAGCTCCAGGGGCCCATTTCAAACTTCTGATTGCTACAACGGTGAGAAAACAAATTTGACTTGTTTTAAGTCAGAGGTGGGTGACGGTTCCTTCCAGAACCCCCAGGACACTCCTGCATGGAGTGTGCAAAGTTTAGGCTCTGCCTCTGCGTGGCCCTCTGCGTGAAGACTTGTCCATCTTCCTCCATGGAAATCTCAGCAGTACAGCGAAGCCACGACATACATTGATCTCTATAATCCATGGTGTGTGCAGGCTAAAGTGTGTCACATCTGCAATGCCTTTAAAAGGAAACTTTAGGGGACCGCCCTGGAGGTTAAGTCTCAGCACTATCACCACTGGGGGCTGAGTTGGATCCCTGGCCAGGGAGCTGACCCACATGGCACAGCAGACCTCTCTTGTCTCATCCACTGCTCCCTCAGCAGTGTATTTCAGTGGCTCCACCTGTTCTGCTCCCCATTCTGTCTCTGGGGATTCCTCTCATCCCCTGTACCTTTGGCCTACACCCCAGTTCTTCTATGTACAAAAACTCAAAATAAAATGAAACTTTAAATGTAGCTGCATAGACAAACCACGAATAGGCGAGCACAGATGTGGCAGAGGAACACAGCAGGTATTTCTGGTGGAATCTTAAGAGGCAGGTGTTGGGCATTCACTGCGACATATTGACACTTCTGTACACATGAAAGTTTTCGTAATAAAATGCTAAAAAGTAAAAAGAATTGAGTCTCCTTTTATTGCCCTTCAATGTTGTTTTCCAGCTTGGCCTTCCTGCTGTCTTGACTCAGCGGAACAAATAGTCAGCAGGCCTCTGCACTCTCCAGCAAGCAGCAAGAAAAAGGGAAGTGAGCTAGAAGCAGCCATGTCTGATACGTGTCCAACAGCTGGGGCAAGAAGCAGGCTCAGGAAGGCGTGGACGGTGCCGGGCCCCACATTCGCACACACAGCTGCTGGCACTTGATAAAGAGCAGCCCCGGTGCCAAACCGTCTCTTGCCTCCTGACAACTGGTGAACCACACACTCACTCCTGGGGCAGAACCAACGGGTTTATCTCACGCTGGTGGCTTATTATTTTATCTAATTTACATTTTGTATTTTTTATGCCCCTTCGTACACTTTGCAACATTTGAAATGTCTTTCCAATGATTTGTCCTTTTCACTGGCTAAATGTAATTGCTCTGCCAGATTTCCTGCCCCCACATTCCCAGGCCTCTGCTTCCACAATCTTATCTTCATTTCCATGAAATTTTTATTACTAAATATAAGGACAATAGATGCTCTTTGAGAAATTAG